ACGTTAGGAAACAAAACTTCAGGAACACGGCCACACAGCCCGGAAGACCCACACCAGCCATTATATGCCGGCCGTGAAAGCCTTCGACAATACAAAAAGAAACATACCACTTCATAAGTCAATCTATCCCACTAGTTGACAGCTATTAATGTCAGGAAATTCCTTATAGTTAACCTGAAACTAGTTCCCTGTAGATTTCAAACAGTTGCTTCTGATCCTACCCTAGTGGGCAAAGAGAACAAGGCCATTCAATTTTCTGTGTGACCCTTTAGATATCTGAAGACTGCTATCATCTATCTTCTCAGCTTTCTCTTCTGCATGATAAACATACCTTTTAACCATTGCTCGTAGGACTTGGTTTCCAGTCCCTTCACTATCTTGGTTGCTGTCCACTGAACTTGCTCCTGTTTGTTAACATCTGCCTTATATTTGCCTTTTTACCTGCCCTGGCACATTGATCTAATATTGCCCTTCTTTATTAATAGTTGTGGCAAGTTGTATGAGAATATTGTCCTATTAACCAATGGGCCCTAGATTACCTCCAGAAGGTTTGCTAAATTGTACTGTTCAATTATCATTACTGTTGGTGGTTCAATAGTAGTTGTTTTGATGAAATTATATTTTAGCTTCCTAATCTTCCTTGTAATTTATTTGACCATAAATAAAACAACATATTTATCAATCATCTTGGCAGGTTGTCAGTGAATTACATTCACAGATAATTTTAAGGAAATGTTTCCTATACCAAATAATTTGGTCCAGTTTCCACTCTACATACCATCAGCAACTTTTAACCTTTCAAATCCATTGCAAGTATCCACAAGACATATTGTCTGTGTTTTGCCAGTATAGCAATTTTCATGTCTGCTAATTCTGTTTGTTACATATAGACACGTCTTCCAGAACTGGATAATCCCTACTCTTCAAAACTGAGATCTATAATAGATCAGCTCCAAAGCAAAACACCTTATTCCATGAAGGTAAAAGTTTACGTTTTAATTAAAGAGCTAGTCTATGGTTGCTGAATTCCCTCCTTTGAGAACATTTAAATAACCTTGTTTCTTGTTCTTTAATTAAGCTGAGCAATGTCAACAGATTCAAGGCAGAATTTCTACATTTGTTCATTCATTTTTTTCAGATCCTCATTGTGAAGCAAAGAGAGCAGACAGAGATGGTTTTCAAACAGTTCTTGGTTGAAGACAAGAACATCTATGGAGGAGCTTCTTATGTGGACTTCTTATGTTGTGTTCATAAAGAAATATGTCAGCTTCTCAACTAATGGATGCTTTGATGTTAGTTCTCTCTGCATTTGTTCAGAACCTATTCAAGAATGGCCAACCACCACAAGGTGCTTTATACTGCTACCTTATTGTACAGTTTCTAATTTCATAGATTAGTGCCCTGTTTCATAATAATGTAGCCACCTACATTTATGTAGACTAGGCAAGTATGTGCTCAGGTATAACTCCTATGGGAGAGCCTTTATCCTTCTTTAAAAGGAAGTAAGTTTCTAGTGGCGAGGTTTGGAATCCTGGAACCTGTGTAAAACATGTGGTTCTCATTTCATAAATTTTAATAAATTGCAAAGCATTAAGTCCTGTTATGTATGATTTGTATTACTCATGTAATTTTTTTGGTTCTTGTTACTGTACATTCTGGCCTATTAACTTTTTTTCTGCTAGCTCACATTTAATGTACAGTATAGACTGAATAAGTTGCTTGGACAAATAGTGAAATGTCTCTACCAAAAAGAAAAGAAGTCCAGTTGCCATGACTCAACCTCCAGACATTTAATGTACAGTATAGACTGAATAAGTTGCTTGGACAAATAGTGAAATGTCTCTACCAAAAAGAAAAGAAGTCCAGTTGCCATGACTCAACCTCCAGACATTTAATGTACAGTATAGACTGAATAAGTTGCTTGGACAAATAGTGAAATGTCTCTACCAAAAAGAAAAGAAGTCCAGTTGCCATGACTCAACCTCCAGACATTTAATGTACAGTATAGACTGAATAAGTTGCTTGGACAAATAGTGAAATGTCTCTACCAAAAAGAAAAGAAGTCCAGTTGCCATGACTCAACCTCCAGACATTTAATGTACAGTGTTTTTTGCGCTTTTCATTATTTTGCATGCTATGGTGCTCTGTGACATGGCTTGCAAAATAGTGGACTATCAGCCCCAGCAAAATAGCCAAAGACTGGGGCCACTGGAAATTGTGGCTTTCCAGGTATAACTGGCCTATATGTGCCTCCCACTCACCTGTTGATTTTGTAAATAATTTTAAAATTAATTCTTTTTTGTAGTTTACTTAAGGGGAATAAGAAGGAAGGAAGCCAATTTTTCTGGGGTTGATTCATTTTTTTTACATGCAGTTTTTATTTTGGCAGAAAATCTTTTTGTGTTGACCATGCCCAGATGCAGCCTCAACATATTCCACAAGGTCATTCACCCAAAGCTTTGTTAACATACTCCACGCTCCCATTACTGTACACGAGCCAAAGCAGTTGAGTTGTAACATTTTCTCTATGAGACAACATTAAGGGATTTGTGATTCTTTGGTTTAGAACGTAGCAAAATTTAATGCCTTGCAAAAAACTAGGTAGCAACTGCTATTACTAGAATGACTGTTGGAGTAAATGAACATTTAAACATTTAAACGTGTACAACATACTAACTTTCAAGACTTCAAGACTACCACTTCAAAAATACTATTGTTACTTTATTCCCAAAATAAAATTCTTTATTTGACTAAGGCAGCAAGTTCATACACGACTCTGTCTTAACTGCTTTAGAATCATTGGCTAACTATATTTTTTTCCAGATTTTAACTTTCAAAATGGGAATCACATGATCTGGGAATTAATTAATGGCTGGGCTCACACTTTACTAAGCCATTATGCGGTTGGTTGGTTTTCAGCTTAGGGTTAGGTATGAACCAGGATATGATGGGCTTTCAATAAATCATGACTAAAATCCTGGCTTATTTTAAAGGATTTTATAAAGTTTTTGTCTATCTCACATCTAGGATTATGATTCTGTGTCCTAAGGTTCTTGGACACCAAGCAATATAGCATTACAGTACAATACCATTTCAAGAGAAAAGTAGTTTACTTAAAGCACTCTTTTTTAAAAATATTTTTTGTTGACAAGAACATGTTACTGAAACTGATTATACTTACTCTATGTTGTTATACAGATAAGTGAACAAAATACTAATAATTGCATTTTTACAATAGTTTTAGAAGGTGGCTGACTATGAGACTAATATATATTTGAGGTTTCCCTTAATAGGAGCACCTATTTTCTCTTCTTAGAACCTGAGTTGCATTTCATTCATTTAAAAAGTAACAGAAAGAGCAATATTTGTCCTAGAAATACTTCAGTGTTTATAAAGAATGATTAATATCAAATTAAGAGTTTTTTAAAAAAAACAATATTAGAAAATATAAAGCACATGACTGTTTAAAACTATAATTAAAACCATCATGTGGCAACTCAACTTTGATAGTAAATGTGTTTTATTGTAAGACCTGGATTATTGTACCATATCTGGTTTGGTCCATAATAGGCACAAAAACATTTTGGTAGCACTTCTCTCGAGTGAGCTGCTAATAAACATAACTGCGGAACTAAGATTGCATTTTTTAAACAAAAAGCCAGTAGTATAAAGGCAGGGGAAAAACAAATTTTCACTGCTTAGCGAGGAGGAAAGCCACCTCGGTGAGTACCTCCCCGTCCCCCTCGGAATCCACCTCTTTCCCCCCTGAAATTAGTTCGGTTTCTCTCTCTGCCTCTTTCTCCTCGGCCAGCTGAAGTCCCACCTCTTCCTCCACCCCTTGGCGCACCACCTCCTCGATCTTTTGGTGGTGGTGATTTTGGTCTGAGTCTCTCAATCTCTTCTGTACAACCAGTTAGGTGGGAGTTGGGGGCTGTGAAATACGACGTATATGTTTCGGCATTGAAGTTACTGTTTGTGAGTGTGGGTCCAACAGTTAACCAGCCTAAGGGGAGGGAAGGGAACAAAAGGGAAGAGTGAGATGCATACAAAATTGTACCTCTTAATCCTTTCCTGATTGGTTGTTGTAATGCTACCTAAATTTAGTATAATTTGTATTTTCAGAGTAGGAGTTAAAGCAAACTATTCCCATGAAGTAAGAACAAGTAGCTTTAGCAATAAAACTCTACATGATATAGCTGAATGTCTACTATTGAAGTGTAAAATATTCCTAATTACATTTTGAGATAAAAACACCATCACCACCAGCTATGAACATTGCTATGAATCCACTGCTCAATGTTACATTTTCTATATCTTGTTTATTTCTTATTAAAACACAAGTGTTTAGAAGTATGTATTTAACACTACTAACAGAACCCTGTCCCCACATAGAAAATTGGAGGAGGGGGGAGGAGTATATCTTACATTCTAATGCCAGACCAAGTCTCTCTGCAATATATCACAAGAATTTAAGAGTATGCTCAAATAATTATTTGGACATACTTCTTTACAGAAAATTTTCTTCAAATTTGGAACCATCCTGTCAGAGCTGAAATATCTTTCATTTGTCTCATCTCTTAAAGAGATATGTTGCACTGAGAAGTTACTTGATCTCTCTTTTAATTTGAATTCATTTTTAGTTCTGGTCAAAAGAACTGAGAAGAAATCATGAGCCTAATAATTGCAGAAAAAGAGAAAAAAAGAAAAATCAGATGGGAGTACTAATTGCTAGTAAAATATTATAAACCAAGACATTTTGCTGATATCAAGGAGGTGTTTATTTTGATTAAAATATGTAGGATCAGCATAAAAGTACAAGAGTTAACTAGTTCTCTTGTGAGCAAAAATGTTCCTTTCATCTCAATGAGCATGACTACCTGAAATGAACCAAAATACAAACAAATCTAGTTTTCCTCTTCCATGGCAACATTTTTCAAAACCACAGATATTTAAAATCAATCCACTAGGAGAGAATTTCAATCTTATGAGCCATTCCCCTGATTTTAAGCTTGCTATACTAAGTAAGTTTAAAAGCATATATGAGAACAATAATCCTCTCTCAATTATTAATAAAATTATAAAAAATAATGTATCACTTCTGGACATGATATATTTATTTCTGTATCTCACCTTTACTTCATCTTAGTTGTCAGTTTAATATCCATCTCTGCCTGAACATCTAAATGCTCTGATGTGCAAATGGGAAATTAGTTTTGTTTTGAGCTCTGAACAAAACAGCTCTGGAATGGCTAGTTTCAGGGCTGTTTTCTATTATTTAAATACCTGAATTGCTATTGCTTGAAATGACAAATTGAGGATAGAACAAAACTCTTGAACTGCATGAATGTTTGAACACTCAGCAACCATTCTGAGCTCAAAACATTTGTGCATGTCTGCTAAATGCATATATCCTCATTGTATCTGCAGTCCATTTAAAAAGAAAATGGTCGTGGTAAGGAAGCTCAAGCTCTCCTCTATGCTCAACTGGATGAAGTAAAATATTGCACTGGAGGCCAGAATTATTCCTCTAAAATCTACATCCTTCCAAAGCACACAAATTAATGTTATGAATTTTTCATCTTTTCTATAAAGCCTTTGAAATGATTCTGTAGAAAAGAAGACTAAGACTAACCTGGCCGGATGGTACTATCTCGTCCAAAAAGATGAAGCCGCCTTCTTCCAAGACAAAAATGTTCAATAATATGAAATATTTCCACAGGTTTCTCTATATTGCCAATTTCTGGCTCTTCTGTGATAATTAAATCAATGTCAACATTAGCATGGATAAAATCCCCATCTGTACTACGGCGGACTGTTCCTTTAATGCCCATAAGGCAATGTTCCTAAAGAGAGAACAAAAATGAATTTTTTTCATAAAGTATATTAGAAAAGATGGGAGGGATAGAGGAAATTAAAAGAGAGAATGTGGCTTCTTTGTAAGTTCAGTTATATAATTCATCAAAAATCATTATGGACACAGAGATTCTAGGGCTTTCCTGCATCTCCATAAAAACTAAAATGAAAACAATTAAAATTATTAAGCAGCAGTAAGAGTATGAAATCCCTATCTGGCACAATCCTATGTGGCAGGTTAGGAAACAATGGATGACCCAAAGTAACGCTAGCCTTGCCACCCAAATTATTGCTCTGATAGGTAGAGTTAAATGCTATGATAAATTTTATTGACCAATTACTCACATCTGTGTCAAAGAACGCATCGTACCACTCAACCCTCCCTCAGCATTTTCTCTCTCTCTCTCAATTTCAGCATTGTATATATTATCTCTAGCAATGCCAGAAGCAGCAGAAAAAACACTAAATCTGCAAAGTGCTTTATGAACTGCTTCAAACCCATCTGATTCAATACAGTCCCACACTGATTTGCAAATATGCTTTGAAATGATTTGATCAACACTTTCTTAAATAATCTTTTTAAAGGGCTTTTTAAAGCCCTGCATATTCCTAGTATATACTCATAAACCAGAATTTTAGGGAAATAAACATTCACAGAGTCTAAAACATCTCCAGAAGTATTAGTTTTTTACAGAACTTTATTGCAACATCGAATTTGAACAAACTGGTTTAAACACCCCCCCCCCATGGACAATTACATTTTGTGTATTCTTTTGTAAGGTCATATTGGAATGCAATTGTATAAGAGGCCTCCATGTAGAAAGTCTACACAATTAGCTTTGGGGTGGGTAGATTTATCTGGTTTTGGAAGAGCGATATCCAAAAGGGCAATTTTCCACAAATCATTACATGCTGCTTTACTGAAGTCACCAGATGGTTTTTACAAAATTATGAATAAGAATGAATAATCACTTCCAGATCTCTCCCAAAGGCTGTGTAAGTTCCAAATTCTGAAAAACCAGGGAAACAAAAATGTCCCTTCAGACACAGATGGCAGTTCACTTTTACCGTCTCTGGCAAACAGCACTAGCTGGAATAGACAAGATACTGTCCTAAGCCAGCTTTCTCTAACCTGGCATCCTCCAGATGAATTGTTTGTATGTATGTACAGTCATGTGAAAAAGAAAAGTACACCCTCTTTGATTTCTATGGTTTTACATAAAAATTATCTGGTCTTTAGTAGTTCTCAAAAGTAGGTAAATACAACCTCAGATTGAACAACAACACATGACATATTACACCATGCCATTTATTTTACAAAAAGAAAGCCAAAATGGAGAAGCCATGTGTGAAAAACTAAGTAC